GTGCTGTAAGAAACGATGAGCAGGTTAGTTTTAGAAAAACATGGAAAATCTTGCATGAAATAATGCAGAGTGAAACAAACAGGACCAAAACAATGTTGTGTACAGGAACGACAATATTGTTTGAAGAGTAACTGTGAATAAGTAAGCTATTTTGAGTAATATGATCATTCAAATCAACTACAAAGTTCTTCTGAAGGAAAATGCTATCCACTTCCAGAGAAAGAACTGACATATGGAAGTATGTGTCTTATGGTTCCACATATATGTCTATATCAAATGCTGGCTTTCTCTAATGCAGGGTTGGGAGAAAGGAAAGGAAGGAAAAAACTCAAAACTCAAAATGTAACAAAAAAAATAAATTTAATTAAAATAAAAGTTTACTCCCTAAAGTGATCTCGTTAAAATTCAACTCTTTAAATGTTATACCCAAAAACGTGCTCTAATTTTCATTCTCCCTACATGAAAAATGCTACAAATAAATACCGGATACCCTGCAAAAACAGAGGCATTTATTCAAATGCCCAGAAGACCTTGAAGTAATTTTATCTGGAATACATTAAGGTAGGTTACAGAGTACACTGCATATTTTTTGAAAAGAAATAAAACTGTGTGGCTGATATAATTTCTAAATTTAGAGGGCTTTTATTTAAGATCTTTGGAAGGTTAGAGGAAAAGATAGTATGACCTTTTTTTCCTCCCTCAAGGGAAGATTTCTTTAAAAATTCTTTTGGGTCTTGAAACTGCATCAAAGATTTCTTTGTAATTCAGTTGTACATCATCAGAGCCATGCATACATTCACCTTTTGATGTGTCTGAACACTTCCTATTTAAAATGAGTTCAAAGTGTAAGTAGAAATTGATCTTTATTGTGAGAACATGGTCTATCGGAAAAAGCACTGACTTTAGAGTCAGTCATGGTCCATGTTCCAGTGTGCCATTTATTCCCTGGGTGACCTTAACTCATCTCTGGTCTCAGTTTCTCCTTCTATAAAATCAAGTCCAATTTCTTTTGGACTATATACCCCTAAGGTCCTTTCCAGACATATAATCTGGATAATTACATAGCTAAAATTATTAATTATAAACCCTCTATATTCAGGGAACTGGTGAAAAATTTGATTTGCATGAACAGCATTTTATATTACTGAGTAGCTAATAGAAAAAAAATTCTGAAAAAATGAAATGAAAGAAAATTACACTTTATTGAGCTAGAATTCTTGTTAGAATTTCATTTTCTATCTATATCACAGGTTAAATGGATCATGGGGCATCATTTTAATCACATCCACAATATATGTCAATATGTCATGCAAACTAACTGGACCTATTTGAATAAACTTAGCTACTAAGGGTCTAAGCAGATACTCTTAAAGGAATCAAAAGTTGGAACCACTTTTCATCTGTTTTAATATCACAAGTTTATTTTGCTTCTCATTTTCCACTAAGTAAACTTTATGAGTTTTTACTAGTAAAAACCAGAGCCCGTGACCACTGGATATCAGCAGAAGGAATTTTCAGCATCTCTACTATGTTCAATGGTCCAATTTGATGCTAAGGTATTAAGTTCAGGAACAGAGGTACCTAGTGCTGGGACTTCAGTTTAAGAATTTAGCTTATCATGGAGAGAAAAACTATAAATAGTGCTGAGCAAATAATTCTCACTTGCTGCTAAGGAATCATAGGAACCTTAAAAAATAAAACTTACTGACCAGTTACTGGATATTGATTTGACAAATAGTTGAAATTCACCCTGTTAATCTGTTTATAGAGCAAGGCTGGTTCCTTGCTTCAGGAGGGTTAGGAGATAACATTTTGACTCAAATAAATGATGATAATCCACTGCAAATAATAAAAGACAGTGGTGCTTTTTCTACACTCTCATCAATCTTTGCACATTTCTTTAACTTCCTTATCCAAGCCTACCCTCAGGCTAATCAAGACAGCTTAAAAGGTTTTCTTAGGACCCACATTCTATTGGAGAGTGGAAAGAGCACTGGTTTCAGGGTCACAGGAACATTTGAATTTTAAAAAGGAAACAATTAGTTGAACCCATAGTTAGTTGATAATCCTTTTCAAGACAGAGGTAAGAAAAGTAAAGCTCCCACTTTTGCTTTGGTTTCATTTGTTCTTTTTCTAATTGGTTTGAGGTATGGTCATTCTACTTAAAACAAACAACAACAAAAAAAAAAGGACGATACTAGGTGTAACCAAAAGAGGGCATATTCCACCCTTAGTGTCTTCATAAAACTCCCATAGTTGTCAAAGGAATCTCAACACATGGGACCAGGGCCCCACATGGCCATAGGCCCTCTAAACTCTACCAGAAAAGCAAACACAGAAACTACATAACAGAGCTTTCCAATAAATCAATTAGCCACTGTAATTTCAAAGCATTTGCTGGGTTATTTAATGCAGCAGCCACATCTGCATTTAGCAGTTGTCCTCTGAAACTATGGTAAGTTAAAAATCAGCATTAAATGCTTCACTCTTATAAGAGTTCTTTGAATATGAAATTTCATATGCCCTGGCAAAAACTCCCTCTCAAGTAAGGTTATAAATTGTCAACCATCAGCAAGTATAAAATGTAACAATTCCAGAAAAAGCATCACCGGTTTAAATAAAACTTGGAAATTCAATACAATTCAACAAGCAAATATTAAGGGCCTAATATGTTCAACTAAAAAAGGAAAGCCATATAACTGTCTTCCAAAAGTTTGCTTTCTTTTATAATAATATAGAGATAAGAGAAAGCAAGGGCCCAACATAGGTGAGCTCTTGCCTTCAGGTAAACACATTGAAGGATACAACCAGATTCTTGTAGGAAAAAGACTTTCTAAAAAGGTAGTTTTCATATTTGACAATAAAAGTACAGATAATGCCTTTTCAAAAAGAAGAAAAAAAATCAAGTATATTTTTAGATCATTGCCCCAACATATAAATTTCTCTATCTTACTGAACAAGTTTTAAAATTAGAGTTTATTATTTAATTTGTCTTTGGAGACATTATATATTTCTTTTATAGGCATGTATTGATCTGTATTTTGGTTTAATGTTAAATTCTCATGTAATAACTTTAATTCCTGTAGACTGATGCATTATACTATTTATAGGTTACTAAATGAAGCTGCTGAAGTACATGTGGATTTCTTTCTCGACTCTCCTTTGGAATCAGAAAGACAATGTGTTTCACTCTCTGGTAGAGATAGCAGTTCATAGAAGTGAAATGTGACTTTTGGAAGGATGATCATTTTAAGGATCATATTTCTGATATAAAAATATAGATTGCACAGTGGACCAAGTATATCGATAGAAAGTGGCTGGAACAATTTTTGCAATAATTCGTGGCATGAAGAGGTAAGTGCCTTTGAAATAGGGTAAATTAGAAAGGATGTCATCTATTCTTATGGAAATCTAGCAGGCATGGTCCATCTCTACAAAACCAAATATTAAAACAGAGACAAGAATGATTTCAAAGACTTTTCTCTCCATCTTCTTCAGGAAAAGAATGACTACTTTGGGGAAAACATTGCACATCTCTTACGCTTTTTCCTTCCAGAAAACGACAAAGGAAAAGAAGAATTTGAAAACCCCGTGGCATCCACACGCCGCAGTGTGGTACAGAAGCGGAAAATGTAATTGCATTTGTCTTGGGGCAGGCTCACTGCTTAGTCAACACCTCGCGTTAAAACTTAAAACGTGTCAGCTTCTAGCCATACCGCATGTCACTAGTGCCAAGAAACAACGCCACCAACCTCAGGACTCTGGCTCAAGTACAGGTTCACAGGGGACGGAGAGAGGCGCAGGGGAGCTCAGGGAATCTAGTAGTTCCTTATGGCTGCGTCTCCAACCACTTGTTATCCTTATTTCCTAATAAGACACGTATGAAAAAGAAGCCCCACTTCCTCTCTGTCTTAATAATTTTGGAATTATGTAGAGCTTTAAGGTGCGTAAAGAGTTTTACATATTTGATCCTCACAACTGCCATGTAAGGTAGGTGCTATTATCGCTTCCATTTCGCAGATGAGGAAACTGAGGATGGAGACAGGTTAAGTGACTTGCCCAGAGTCACACAGGAAAAGGAGAAAGGGAGACGAGCCAAAGGGGGAGGGGCCGTGGCAGCACCGATTTAGACGAGGGGTTTGTAGAGGGATGACAGAAAGCAGAAGCCAAGCCCCTGGTCGGGTAGCGCTATTTCCTCCCTCACTCTTACTACCTACCTCCCATTTCCCTCTTCCTCCCAGATAGGAGATCAGTTAAAGATTACACCGCTGCCGGCAAGTTTCAAAGCCTCCCCTCCTGAGCCAAAGGTAAAGATAACATTCTTGCAGGTCTAATCAGGTCCTGCGGTTGCCCCACTTTTAATCACCTGGTTTTAAAGTTTAAAAAAAAAAAAAAGTTACATCAGGCGGCAGTAGGATGGGAACTCGAGTCCCTTTCTAGTTGCGGAAGCTCCTTTCGGAGCAAACTTTCATTGCCGTGTTTCTAGCGATTAAGGAATGGCTCAGGCTCTGCATGGAGCGCTCATTGCCCAGCTGCCGGGTTCTGGAAGGCTTAAGAAAGAATTGCCTTCAAACCTCAAACCTTTCATTTCAACGAGTACTTTTTTTTTTTTTTTTTTTTTTTTGAGCCTCTATCATTGTGCTCCGAGGGGTAGAAGTCTGCCTGTTCTTCGGGTCGTTTCATCCAGATTTCTCGACTCAGAGTGCCCTGCACGTAGTGGGCGCTCAGTAAATATTTGCAAAATGAATGAATGAATGAAAGCGTGGACGGAAGCGTCCGCAAACGAGTGTGCACGCTGTCCAGACGCACGCTCTGGAAGCAAACATTCACCACCCGAGATGCGACCTCTTGCTACCCACTGCGAGGGCAGGAGGGGCTCCCCCTCCCAAGTCTCAAGCGAATGCCGCCTCTTTCGCCCCATCCTCCCTCCCCCGCCCCGATTCTTGCCAACGCTCCCGTTTCACCCGGGCGCCGCTTGACCCTGAGCCCAGAGCACTTACAGGTAAGAAGTGAAGACGCTGAGGTTGGCGGGGACTTCCGTGAGTCCCAGGTCGGCGCAGTCCACCCTGAGCAGCATCCTGGCGTCCTGATCGCACTGACAGTGCGTCGGGCACCCCAGCTGTCCAACCGCCAGGGTCTCCGCGGGACTCCCTCCAGCCAGCCGCCCCCACCGCAGCAGGAGCGCCCAGAACAGGAGCGCACCGGCCGGGGAAGTGTCCATGGTGCCAGGGAGAGCAGGGTAGAGGAGGAAGCGAAGGGAGAGCAGGGCAGCCCGGAGAGCGGGCGGGTAGACAGCTCCTCTGCCGCGGAGAGTGGCCCCACCGGACTCCTCACTTGGTCGCCTTGCCCAGTGAAGTCTCTCAGCGCTGGCCTGCGGCCGGTTGCTCTGCGATCCTGCCCTTTAGGGGAAAGGAGGAAGGACGCGAAGCTGCAGCGCCTGGGGGAGCGCCGGCTGCTGCTGCGGTCACTGCGGCGCTGGCCTCAGCGTTGATCTTGCCGCCACTGCTGCGGGGCTGCTGCAGGCGGGCTGGAGCAACATCTCCCAGTTCACGCTTTTTTTTTTTTTTTTTTTTTAAAGGGCTCCGGCCCGAATTGCGCGCCCAGTGACGTCAGCGCAGCCTGGTTTCCCCCGCGCCCCTCCCGCCCCAACTCTTCCCTCCTTCTTTCCTCTCCCTCCTTCCCCCACTCTCTGGGGCGGAGGAAAAGAGGAGGTGGGGACGGGGGCGGAGGCCTGGAGATTCCAGCTCCCTCGCACACAGCGGGCAGGATGGACCCCCGTCCCAACCCCAGCCCACTGCCTCCGCCTCCTCTTGCCCTCCTGGAAGGGGCGGTGTTGGGGGGGCGGTTGTGTTTGAGGTTAGAAAGAGAGGAGAGACCTTCAGCACTTGGCCTCGGAACCCAGGCTCAAGCTGCCCAAATAGGACTATCATAGGTCACTAAAAAAAACAAAAAAACCAAAACCAACAACTCTATAGCAATAAGCAAGAGAATCACTAAGAACCGTGTGCTATATAATGGGATGACGCTGCGTACTGCACCTTTCACCGAAGAGTCCAGCTTGCTTTTACGCTGAAATCGAAGTGCTATGCTTAGTCGTTAAATAAGTACAACTCCTGCATGAGCACCCCAGCTCGACCTTTCCAAATCGTCCAGGTGGCAAAGTCGGAAGTGGTTAATTATTTTTGAAAATGCTTTGCGATTTCAGCAAAATCACCTTTAGTGAAGTAACGTTGCAGATGCTACCAACTGGTTCCATTTCTTCAGGGCCTTAACCACACCTCTCCTGTATGTATTCCTGTGACCTACAATGCAGCCATGCTAGAAGAGCATATGACATATGAGCTGGAAAGGACCTCAGGACTCCTCTAGTCATCCTTTAAAAACGAAGGCATGGAGCAGCTTAATGACTTCTTCAAGGTCACACACATAGTAAAAAGTAGATCAGGCCTTCTGATATAAATTCAGTCCCCTTTCCAGTACAGGTCTCATTCAGACACCAGAGCTCTCAGAAAAGCTGTGAACGACTGGATCCTTGCAACTCTCCAAAGATTAAGAAGAAACAATCAGAAATTTAGATTCCCTTTGAAAGAAGACACATTCCCAGCCAGTGCAAGAATCTTACTAGAGAAGAAAGTGTGAAGTCAGGGAAAGGATGCTGGCTTTGGAGGTAGAGGACTTTGGTTTGATTACTAACTCTATTACTTATCACCTGCACGACCCTGGGCAAGCCTTCATATCCCTGGCCCTCGGTTTCCTCATCAGTAGGATGAGAATCGGATTAAATTATTTTTGAAGTCTCCTTGTAGGTTCAAATCTATGATCCTAAGAACTGATCTAAACAATGACTAGAAGAAGTACAAACTTGACCGCTGTTACATTAATCTTTTTAAATCTAAGCATTTTTCTGGTTATTCTTCTGTTCAAGATTGTGCTATGACTTCCTATACAGTTGGCTACATCAAGTTCAAAACGCCAAGTTTCTTTAATTAGCTTTAAAAAAAAATATGGGCCTTCATAATCTGGCCCCTTCTTTCATTCTCAAGTTAATTTTCTACTACTCTGAAACATACACACTCTATTCCAATCAGGCCAGTTTCAGTGCTATGCCTCTGTTTTATCCGTCTTCCCAAATCTTGATTCATTCTCCTATTTACTCATTCATCCATCCATTTATTCAACAAATAACTGTTGAGTTCCAAAAGCATATTCTTGTTTGCTATTTATCTAGGTTCATAGCTAGGTATTCTGCCTCTCTACAAACTTTCCTCTTCCTCCTTCTTCTCCTTCTTCTCTCTCTCTCTCTCTCCTCCACCTCCAGCTTCTGTAGTCCACATTCATCTCTCCCTTCTCTCAACTTCCATCAGATTTACCTGCTTAATTGTTATGTGCTTAATTGTAAGAAGAGTCCTCTGGGGGTTAGCAGAGTGAAAGTTGGCCTGGAATCAGGCCCATCTAGGTTCAAACCCTACTTCTGATAGACTCTGGTAGTTATGATCTTGGGGAATTCATTTAACAGTGGTGCAGGAAACTCTCTAAAACTAGAAATTGAAAAGTTAGTTGCTCATCTGATTTGGTAGGGGGAGAGCCTATAACATTAAATGAGATATGCTGGGATTTTTTTGTGTACTTAAAAAAAACCCAAAGACTTTGCTGGGATTACATCTCTTCTTTTGCATTAAGTGAGAATCAACTTCTTTTGAAAAACACAAATTTGTTTTATCAGAATCTTTAGAGAAGGCTGGAAGGTAGAAATCTGTAAGTAATTTTAAAGTCACAGAAAATGTTGCTGAAATAAGTACCTGGGCACCCATTTGAGAGACATATTGTACATCCATCTAACCATAAAGTAAAAGCCTAGTAGGTATCCAATGTACTGGAGATATATAATTAAATATATGAACCAGTCCCTGCCCTCTAGTTGGAGCAACAAAGCTAATAGTTTTAGCCCTGTTAGCTCTGGGCCCATGGATGCAAACTAAGTTCAGTCCTGGAGGAGTCTGATTTCATAGGAAGAATCAAGTTCTTTAAAAAAAATTCTTTGGCTTTTTACACTTTACTCTTGAACCCCTGGGAGAATCACTTGGAGCCTAGGTTTAGCTCTTGTCTTAGGGTCTCACCTAAAAGGATGAGTAGAAAGATACTCAAAGGACAATGTAAATCATGTAGAGGTCAGTTGATTATTTCCTTTCTTACACATTCACACAACGCTAAACACACTAAAACTCACAAGTGCACAATTGGCTAAAACTTATACTTGAAGCTTCCACTTACGATTGCTGTTTCATTCTTCCAGGATATCACTATTTAAAGATCCAACATTAAGCATTTTGTAGCATTGTCCCATAAATATTTTATCTTTACTTTTACTCCTCAGCGTTTTTTCCTCAAGGTCTATGTCTTTTGGTAACCTAGGCAAGGACTTGGGCTCTTCCTTCCGTCAGTGGTCATCTTCAATCCCAAGAGGTTCTAGAGTGGTTGTAGGGGAAATTTCTACAACCAGCACCAGCCAATGCAACCAGTGCATCCAGCACCAACTGAGTGACCTAGAAGGACCCAACCTCTGGAATTCACAAGGTTGTCTCAAAGGTTGGGAGTGTCCATCTCAGGATCACCATTTAGTCACCCATGCTTAGGAAAGAAACACAAAGCAAAGAGTTTTGAGGTCTAGTAGGGTTGTTATGTATGAACAGTTCATTTTTGAAGAGGCATTAGGGGGAATATTGCTCCCTCCTTCTCCTCCCTGTTCCCCTTTACACACACACACACACACACACACACACACACACAAAGAAAGAGAGAGACACACAGAGACAGAGTGATGGAGACAGAGACAGACACAAGGACATGGAGAAAGACAAGGATAGAAACAGTCAGACTGAGATACAGACAGAAACAGAGAGATAGACAGAGAGAAACAGAGACACAGAGACAGAGAAACAGAAACAGAGACACAAAGACAGAGAAACAGAGACAGAGAGACAGAAACGCCGAGACAGAACAAAGAGGCTGAGGGGGCATATCTATCTATCTATCTATCTATCTATCTATCTATCTATCTATCTATCTATCTATCTATCT